GGCAACGGCTCCACATCCTACATCCATCTTCTCACCCTCCATCAGAGTCTGGGAGCTCGGCTCTATTGCTTCAGACACAAAGAGAGAGAAGAACCAAATGCCAGGTCATTAGTTGGAATCCATTCAGCAAAGTTCACACATAATGAAAATAACAGCCAAAAGCATTAAAAAAAAATAAAATTTCACTTGTGAGAAATAAAATACGGGGTTTTTTTTTGCCTGCGATCTCAACCTTGGCAGAGATCTGTCGTGTGGAAGCTCAGCACAAAGATTTCACTGAGGTCTTAGGGAGTCACTGCTAAAGTTTGTTTTCCCCCAATTAAAGCAGCTATTAAAGGCCAGTTTGAAAAACCAGCAACGTTTAATTGGCAAGAAAAACGCCCAACAGTAAATAAAAGGCAGACACGTTCACCAATTAAAAAAAAAATCTGACAAGATCTCTCTCTCTCTCAAAAGGAAAAAATAAAACAGCATTTGCTAAATGCCAGGTTGCTTGTTTTCAGAGCACAAAAAGCTGCCTCAAGCAGCTCCCAACGAAACAAAAGGTTAAGAAAAATCAATATACAAACAGGGGTTTGTCCTCTCAGCGATAAAATAAAATATTCCCCAAGTTGTCCTGCAGCAGATGAGCCAAATTCGCTTCATTATCTGCTCTGGTTTTTAAAAAGAAACAGCCAAAGCCCCTGTGATCAGCAGCACACTCAAACAACAAAAGCCTCTGCTCTCCTGTGACAACATTTTGACCTTACAAAGTACATTTAATTTGAGGAACTTGAGGGATCCTTCTGATCCAAGAAGGAATCAGCACCTTTTGGAGGTGGGTGTGCTGAGGAACGAGCTCAAGTGCTGCACTTCCCATCCCTGATATCCACTGTCCCACTCTGCAAGTCCCAGTCCCAGGAGCTGTTTTCTTGTAGCAAATAAGGGTCATTTCTCCTCAGCACAAGGGCAAATTGAAGATACTCTCACACATTCCCTAAAGGCACAGGGAAAAGAAGGAAAAGTTCCCAAAGCGGGAATTTTAATAGCGGGCTTTGCAAATATTAAGATTCCTGGACACACTTTTTACTTCCAGATTTATTGTTATGAATAAATCCTCTACTTCTCCTTTAGGAGAAACAAGGACTCAGTGGGATCCAGCAGCAGCTCTGTTAAAGTAAAACTCCACTTCCTAACTGTGCTCCCTGGTTTTTCCCAGATGGATCAGTCCTGACTCAGGAAACATTAATTCTTCCAAATTCATCCATCCTTGAGGTTCTCTTTATTCTCTATTCTTGGCCACAACCAAAAAGCCAAGGTGAATTCCATCTGTAATTCCATCAGTAATTCCAGTGGATCCTCCTACAGGAAACAACTCCTCAGGAACAAATGTGTTCCCTGACACAGCAGGAAAAACTGACACTTCCCAGGGACTGAAAAGGAGCAGGAGTGGGACATTCCTTCCTCTTGGGGCTTCCTTCCTTTATCCCAGAGATTTCTGCCCTCAGAGCTGCTGAAAAGCAACACCCCAGACACCAGGGAGGACTCAAAATTCCCAAAGTAGAGCCCCAGAGCTCATAAAATGCCATTTTTTACAGGATTCCAGAGCTGCTTTGTGTTAAACTCTGTCAAGGATCTCACCCCTGGAAGTGAGATGCCTTCTCCTGGGAAGTCCAGTGATGGAAGTACAAGAAACCCTAAATCTGAGATCAGGGGAAAGGAAATTATTCAGTCTCTTTTGACAGAGCACGACTGAGCTTGAGTAAATATCAGAAATTATCCCTTTGTTAATAAAATAATCCATATTTACAAAAGGCCTTTCAGCTTCCCACCTCAAAGCATTTTGGAGACAGTCACTGAAGAGATTCTGCAGAACTAACCAAAGTTTCTTCTTAAAAAAAAAACCAAACATCACCAACTTTGCTGTAAATGAGTAAAAATAAAATTCCTGAAGAAGCTGCTCTGGATTTGTTTGTTTACAGCAGAAAAACGCAGCCAAAGTTCTGCTGCTCCCTTTATGGGCCTTTCACAGAGACCAAGGGAGACATAAACAGCCCAAATAAACAGGGAAACACAAGTGGAAAACCGCAAGGATCACCAGAGGAATCTATTACACGTCAATGTTTGGGAAATAAAGCTATCAAGAAAGGAAAACTTGGCCACATCTCAAAAACCATCAACCCGCTGTGTTAAGATTTGTGATATTTTTTCTGAAGCTGAGAAAAGTTCCACTGAACTCACCCCGGGTTTAAATTTGTTTGCAGTGGTGTTTTATGACCACACACAAGCTCTGAAATAATTCACCTGTTGCTTGGCTCACCTGATACAAAAACAACACATAGAAAAAAGTGATTTAAATTCCTTTTCACGCCATTTCTTTCTATACTTGAGCAACCCAAATAAATATCAATATTATTATTATTAACACAAGACTTTTTCCTTCCTTTGCCATCGGGTTTTCATGGTCGGAGCTCAACGTGGCACTTCAAGCTCTGCAAAGAATCTCTACATCCAAAACAAGCCCTAAGGAAATTCTAGAAGTTTAGTTATCAGGCTGTTCTAATGAATAATTTTCATTTCATAAAGTCAACAACCTCAATGCTGTCTCTAAACACTGGACCTAAACTAGCCAAGATATCAGTGCCTGGAAGCCAAAGATGGAGACAAACATGATTTCTTATTTGGACAGCAGAGCAACATGAGTTGAGTCTTATATTATAAATTAAATTAGTACAGATTTATTAAAATAGAGGTACAAAAGGAGAACCTTAAAATAATTTTGGAAATTACAGGAAACTTAAAAAAACCAAAGATGATTACAACAGGAGCAATCAATGCAGGTACATTTTTCTTCCACTCTGTGGAACCAGCTGCTTTTTTTCCAGAATCAACATCTCCCTTTAAGTTTTCCAAGACTTTAAAGGTCAATTTTCAAAGTAATAAAAAGGACAGAATTTTCTAAACATTATCATTCCCAGAGGATTTTTAAATCCTAACATGTCCTAGGATACAGAGCTCCTGCTACAATAACTTCTCCAAAGTAACTCAAAGACTGGAGTTTCTCCCCAGGACACTGGAGCAGGATCCAAAGTCTGGAAGCTCATTCCAACTCCCAGTATCCCACTGGGGTGATTCCTGCTGCCCACACCCACTGGAGAGGGGGTGTGGAAGAACATTTAAAAGCTTCAGTGGGGGCAATCAGCTGCCAACCCACTGGTTTTGAGCAGCAAAAAAAAGATTTACAAGCAGCTGAAGAAGCCACAGAGGAGGAAACAGTGAATTCAGGTCCAAGTCTATCCAGAACTATCCTCCAGCAGAGCAGAGTTCAGGAATAAGGGCAGACAGTAATCAATACTCTAAACATGACCAGACACAGGTCTTTCTTTTGACTCTCTACAAGTCAGACTTGGAAGCAGCAGCACTTTTCCCACTCCTGCATCCTCAAAAAGGATGGACTCTGCACACACAGGACTTCCTGATCCTCCAGCTTTTCCAACCAGCACTGTTTTACTCAGTGCTGTTGGTTTTGGGGGTGAAGGTCACTTATGGACTCCACAGCACCAGGATAGTGCCTTTATCCTTATGCATTAAGCTGGTACTGCCTGAAAGGTTTATTCACAGAATCACTGAGGTTGGAAAAGATCTCTGGAATCAGGGAGTCCACCCTGTGCCCAATGCCCACCTTGTCCCCCAGCCCAGAGCACTGAGTGCCACGGCCAGGCCTTCCTTGGGCACCTCCAGGGATGGGACTCCAAACCTCCCTGGGCAGCCCCTGCCAAAGTTTGGAACCCTTTCCATGGAGCAATTCCTCCTGATGTCCAATCTGAACCTCCCCTGGCACAGCTTGAGGCTGTTCCCTCTTGTCCTGTCCCATGTTCCCTTAGGAAGGTGGCAAATGGGATTCAGGGAACTCAAGTTCTAAAAATGTTGCACATTGAAAAATAAGTAGTTTTAAGTGAAACCCTCAAAGTCCAAAGACCACTTTCCAATCTCCATGGTTCAGAGAATCCCAGAATCACTGAGGTTGGAAAAGCCCTCCCAGCCCATGGATCCACCCTGGGCCCGATGCCCACCTTGTCCCCCAGCCCAGAGCACTGAATGCCACGGCCAGGCCTTCCCTGGACACCTCCAGGGCTGGGGACTCCAAACCTCCCTGGGCAGCCCTTGCCAATGTTTGGAACCCTTTCCAGTAAGAAATTCCTCCTGATGTCCAACCTGACCCTCCCCTGGCACAGCTGGAGGCCGTTCCTTCTCCTCCTGTCCCTTGTTCCCTGGGAGCAGAGCCCGACCCCCGCCCGGCTCCTCCCCCCTGTCAGGGACTTGCAGAGCCAGAAGGCCCCCCCTGAGCCTCCTTTGCTCCAGGCTGATCCCCTCCAGCTCCCTCAGCTGCTCCAGCCCCTTCCCAGCTCCCTTCCCTTCCCTGCACACACTCCAGCCCCTCCATGTCTCTCCTGTCTGAGGGGCCCAGAACTGCCCCCAGCATTCCAGGGGGGGCCTCCCCAGGTCCCAGCACAGGGAACAATCCCTCCCTTGCTCCTGCTGGACACACTATTTCTAATACAATCCAAGAACCATTGGGCTCCTGCCCCCCTGGGCTCATGTCCAGCCACTCTCCCCAGCACCCCCAGGGCCTTTTCCAGCTTTCCAGCCCCTCTGGCCCAGCCTGGAGCTGCAGGGGGTTGTTGTGACCCAAGGGCAGGACCTGACATTGATCTTGCTGAACCTCATCCCATTGTCCTCAGCCCATGCATCCAGCCTGTCCAGGTCCCTCTGGCCCCACAATAACGCAAAACACTGGGAAGAGGAGGGGATGAGTCGAGCAGGGCAGGAGGGACAGCAGGACACCCATAAGGACAAGCTTTGCTCCAACACCGCGGCTTCCACACCGCTCCGGGAGAACCTGGAAGGACCCAGTGCTCCGCAGGCCGGGCCCGCGCGGGCTCTCCCAGCACGTCAGGGCCCGCCGCCGGCCCTGTCTCACGCTGAGGGGCCGGGAGGGCGCGGAGCGGGGCCGCCCGTACCTGATAACCGAGATGAGCAGCCCCGAGGGGTCCTTGCTCCTGCCCACGGTGCCGCGGTACCGCCCCACCGCCTCGCCCGCCGCCATCTTGAGCCCCTTCCGGCACGGCGCACACACACGCGTAGCCAATCAGAACAGAGCAGGGCGGGCCGCCAACCAATAGGAGGTGAGAAGGGCGGGGCGCGCGGCATAAAAGGGCGGGGCGGCGCCGCGGGGCCTTCTGGGAGTTGTCGTTCTGACGGCGGCGGTGACCCGGTTCCTCCCTTGCACAGGTGATTAAAGGGTCAGTTGAAATCGGGTTTAAAAATTACCCACCAGACAAGATACACCTGCAAAGACACCTGTGCCCAATCGCCGTCACTCGCTTCAGAAGCTGCAGGAAACTTGTCTGGCATGTAATTAACCGAAGTGCCCTCACAGAGCCCTCACGGAGCTGCACTGAACAACAATGGATTTAAATGTTTATAAAGTTAATAAAACGTATTAAATACTTAGATTAATGTGTTCTATGAACCAGTAATGCTAAATCCTAGCACATCTGATCACAAATACATCACAAATACAAGGGTTGCTGAAGTGTCACTTAACTTATCTCTTTGAGTTACAGCCTTTTACGAACAGTTTTCCTCAGTTTTCACCTGGAATACAGCGATGTGACTCAAGCTGAACCAGCCCAGGTGGTCTTTGAGGTCGGCTCCGAAAGTAAACCTGACATAGTTTGGCACTGGAATTGTGGGGTTTTGAACAGCTGGAGGTGGTGGATGGGAGTCAGTTCACGAACTGGGCACATCTCCAACACCCAGTGCCCACTTCCAGCTAGATATATTCCATGATTCCATAATCCTGAACAACAGCCTACTTGCCCATAGTCCTTGCTTTGCCACGGACACGCTCCATCTCTTGCCACAGGATCACCTTTGGAAAAGGGAAGGTCTCTGTCACCCTGTTCAGGGTTGGAAAACCAAAGGTTGCTTTTCAACATTCGCTGGACGACATCGAACAAACCGTCTCCCAACAGCTGCCTCGCTTTCCCTGTTTGCAAATAAGGGATAACAACACCTCTCCAGTCAAGTCCTTGTGCTAAAAACACCACAGAAGACCCAGGGTTGTTGTTGGAGAGGCAGGAATTCCTGAGCCAGGGCAGGAACAGCCATTATTTGCATCACTTGTAGCTGCTGGGTGTTTTCTGAACCAGCTTCACTCCATCCTGTCAAAGACACTGCTCCTGGCTGCTCTCCTGGAGGTGCTTCTTCAGCCCAAAGCTGCACATTAATGACTTAATTGCATGGAAATTGCTGGAATCTGTAGGTAAGTCAGGAGTATCCATTTATACGAGCTGTGTTTGAAGCACAACCTAATTGGAAGCGTGGTATTCCCAGGGCTTATTTACAAGGGGAATATTTCCACAATAGCTGTTGTGGAAGAGCCCCTATTTATTATAATCAACCCCTGGCTCTACGATCATTAGCAGAATGAGAGCGTGGGCACTTTAATTCTGAAATAGAAGAGACTTTATTCCTGGATAACCAGCGTGTTTTCAGAGCGGGATAATTACCCCAAAGTGATTTTTATGGGGTGTGCACTTCAGCGTTTTCCTGTAGAGCTGCTCTGCTACATTTCCCCTCGTGCAGGCAGGCTCTCAGCTCTACAATTTACTGTTCAGATATGCCAAAAAAAAAGCTCATTTGCTCTGATTTTGTGAGCTTTGCCAATGCCTTTGCCCGAGGACGGTGATTTGAATGGTAAGAGGTTTCTGCACCGGCTGGAGGGAGTTTTTTTTCCTCAAGCTGCTGAACTTGCCAATATTGGGTTTTTGTTAATTGGCAACGCCTATTGACTGCTCTGGACCAGCACAGACCTGGAGATTGCAGTGGGGATGAAATCAATGTGTCCCACCTTTTCATTCCTGACAGCTACGATAATCACCTCATTTAGGAGGAACTTCATCAGGACAAACGGGCAGCAAATCTCCCCCAGAACTGTGACCTTGCTGACTTTCAGTGCTGGGCTTTAATTGCTAAACCACTGCCTGGTTTCACTGACAAGCCCTTTTCTCTTCCCTCCCAACCCAAGCAGAGCTACAGGTGGGAATTTATGTTTTCTTTAAACAAAAGGGGGAAAAAATCCAATGTAGTCTGGGCCGATGCAGCACATGAATGCTGAGATCTTTCTTGATTAATAATATATGACACAAGGAGGCTGAAGGGTTATGAGAACATCATTTTCTCCTCACACAGCCTGCAAGAAAGGATCTCAGCCTGAAAGCTGATGGATTGGGGCAGAAATCTATTTTTATTTTCACATTTCTTTCACGTTGTTTTAGGACCCTCAGGTATGTCTTGGTGGGGGGGAGAGTTCCTTGACAACTCCTTTCCTGGGGTAGTTTTACCTGCAACCCCTTCCCACAATTTATCCCCTGGTCTTCTCTGAGTGTTCCTTGGGAATTCCTTAATCCAACAGATTTCCCGGTGCTCGGGGCTGATGCACAACACAGGTCTCTCCACTACAGGTTTAACATTTGAAAAAAATACCACAAGTACTTTGTTATTTCATTTCCAACATTAGCAGAAATGTCAGAGGAAAGGGTTCAGCTCACACCAATCTCTTCCAGGTGTAATTGCCTCGTCTGTAATGCCTTTATATTGGTTGTAATGAAATTACCTTTGACTTCCATCAGTGTAAATGGGAGCAGAGTGAAGGCAGAGTTTCCATCTCACTGCAGGAGGAATTCTGCCTGGATAAAGAGAGCCTAATGATTTTGGCATCTATCAGTCAGCTCAGTAAAATATATTCCCCTCTTTACAGAGCTTGTCACCCCTGCAGCAGCTGCAGTAAACTGAAATTCTGGGCGAAGAATCAGCTCCAAACCACCCCCTTGTTGCATGAGATTTAATTCTGGGGGTTTTTTTATAAAGCCTTACCAGACTTAATTCTGGTTTTCTTATAAAGCTTCACCAGACTTTGCCTGAAAAAAAAACCTAAATAAAACTGTGCTGAACCATCAGGATCTGGCCCTATGGTTAATCACTCATCTGGATGACCTTCTTATTCCTATTTACCATTACAAAAGTGTGAATTAAACCTGGTTTAAGTTGTGGTTTTGGCTGTCCTGCCCGACAACAATCAGTCTCTCCTCCCAGCACGCCCCTGCCATCAATCCTCTCTGTCTCCGTGAATAAGAATTAAGAAACTCCTGGGGCAGGAGAAGAAGTTGCCTCGACGCTGGGAATCAAGGCAGAGATATGATTCAAATGCCTCCTTATTGTTTTCTGCCTCCTGCCATTTCCCAAGTTGTGCTGAGTGCCGCTGCTGCTGCAGGAAAAAAAAAAAAATAACTGAGATTGAGTTAAGTGGAAAAGCACTGCTGCTTTTCCAATGTCAAAGCCACACAATGTATGGTAATGGAATCCCTGGAGGAAAGCAGAGGGAAAAAAAGTGAAGTGTTGCTCTTCAAAAGCAGGTAAAACACCGTGGAAAAGGATGAGCCGTTCTCCTTCTGTAAACCATTTAAAAACCCACGTTATTTGGTTTTTTTTTTTTTTTTTTGCCCCTTTATTTTACTTCTCCTTACTGAGGGAATGCTGGTTTTACAGCTGTGCAATCCCTGGCAAAGCAGGGAGGTGAGACTGACCCCCCAAAAAAGTTTGTTGATGCAGTTGGTGACCTGGTTTAGTCCTGGCTTAGTGGTGGATTTGGCAGTGCTGGGTTAATGCTTGGACTCGATGATCTTAGAGGTCTTTCCCAACCTAAATAATTCCATTCAGGTCAGAAAAAGGGATAGAAAACCCGTAACTGATCCCATGGGATAATCTTTTAGCATGGCTTGTTTTGTTACTTGACTGATTTCATGGAAAACATTAAATTCCAAGGTGGTGGAGCAGCTTCCTAATTTAGTCAGGAATCTGTTAGGAATTAATCCGAATTCCTTGAGCCCCAGAGCTGTGTTCACCTTCCAGGAGCTCCAACACTCTCCACAACCTTCTCAGCAAAGCCTTGGATATATTTTTTCATGAGGCCTTTTTTGTTCAGAGCAAGAATTTTCTGGCAGTGATGAAACATGTTGGAGAAATATCCTTTTTTCCATCATTATTGAGTATTGTGGATGCACCAGACCCCAGGCTCAGGAAGCCTAAATGTGACTTAGCCAATCTTACATCTCAGACAAACTTCCCATGGGATTTCCCACATCCAGTTGTCCACAGGTATCTTCCAAACCCTCAGGTGAAGAGGTACAAGCTGGTTGGAATTAAAACCTTGAAGTCTTGTCCTCCTTTGGAACCCTGGAAAACCTCAGGTGTAAAAGAGACATTAAAAAAACCCACTCCCATTCCAACTCTCCCATGTTTAATTATGGGGTTTTTTTCTCCCAGCCTTTCTGTAAGGAGTCCTTAGATCCCATCTTATTTTAACCCTATTTATTATTTATCTCATTTTAATCCTATTCTTCTTTTAAGCCAGATCCATTAAGTTCCCCATTAAGTGGATTTGTTGGGCAAATCAACTCTTGCCTCAGGTGATATCCAAGGCAGTAAATTCCTCCAGTTTGGGGGGAAAGGATAGGAAGGAATATGTGTTAAGGCATAACTAGATTAGGAAGCTGCTCCACCACCTTGGAATTTAATGTTTTCCCTGGAATCAGTCAAGTAACAAAACAAGCCATGCTAAAAGATTATCCCATGGGATGAGTTATGGGGTTTCTATCCCTTTTTCTGACCTGAATGGAATTATTTAGGTTGGGAAAGACCTCTAAGATCACCAGGTCCAAGCTTTAACCCAGCACTGGCAAATCCACCACTAAGGCAGGTCGGATAGAAAGGATAGAAAAGGAAGTCCCAGAAGTCCTGCTGGCACTGAGGGGGAAGTGGAACCACTTGGCTCTCTTATTCCAAGTGGGAAGGAGAGGCAATGGATGCCCCAGCCCCAGGAAAACCCCTCAGATCAGAGCTCCACCTTATCAAACCACAGGCAGCCAAGCGTGACACGTGTTGGAGACAAGACTTCATCAATTCTAGTTCTCACAAAAATAGCTCATCCTGCTGAATTCAGCTTTGGATATTTTCTGGTTTGTGTAACCAGGAGCTCCAGGTAAGAGAAACAAAAAGAACTTGA